GGCTAAATCATTCTATTTAAACAACTGGCCCAGTGTATAAAATAGTCTAAGTTCAGTTGCTTTCCATTTTTTAGTATCTAATTAAGACATTGGTTTCAGAGATAAAACCATCCATTATGTAGATAATTGAGGTGACCAACTATACTCATTTACTGAATTTTGTACTTTTTTTTTACAAACCGTACTCTTTTCAAATCCTGTATACTGAAAGTACTCATTTGTATAATTTTGTACTCATTTGTATTTCTAAAACATTTTTCAGATTATTTCATTTCAATTTTGTGAATTAAAGATTTAAAAATATTTTGTCAGTGATTTGAATTTTAAATTTTTGAGAAAGAGTTAATTTGAATTTAGTTTAAAATTTGAGAACAGTTTTTAGACGTAATTACATTTGAGAAACGTAAAGGGGTTTTCATAAAGTAAGTTCGGTATTGTGATTTATACTACTCCAGCTAATTGCCTAGCGGAGTACCTCATACCATCGCGCGCACAATCGGATGGCGTTTAAATTTAGAAAATAAGATGGAATTTGACGCTTTTTTAACTTCATATATGGGCCCTAAATAGGCTTCATGTGGGCTAGCCTATGAATACAAAAGGACAAGCCCACATGGGGCCTTATTTCGGCCCATATTAAAATTCCACATAGATCCCACTTGGGCAAACTCATATGGGCTCCAATAGGATATGTTGGGTATTAAAAATTAGTCAATGGAGCGACATCTAAATAAAATAAACAAATAAAATAAAATAAAAATATATTAAAACAAGGAAATAATAAAGAAAAAAAACTAGATTAATACATGTAATAAAAAAGAAGTATAAGAAACAATAATATTAAAAAAGTTGAAATTAGAACAAAAGTATAAAGGAGTAACGCTAAGAAAAAAGAAAAAAAAAAAAAGAAGTAGGAGAATGAACGGATGACATAAGATGAGTGAGAAATATACAAGAGAAAATAAAAATTTAATCACATAAGCTCAGAATGATAGAGTGACAGAAAACAATTTTTGCAGAAAAATATAAAAAAGCAAAGTAAAGACAAATTTAAATAGAAAAAATATATACATACACTACTACATACAATATTAAAGGCTATACTCAACGCGCTTAATGCAAGTTTTCATATTTTTTGACACGCTTGTTCTCTGTGGCAACAAACACACGAACTTTCCAGTCCACATATTTACTAAGGTTAGTTAGTTATTGAACATAAGATATATTAAAAAAAACTTTATGATTTTCATTTACAAGATGTTTGATTTTATGTTTTTTAGTTGAAACTTTAAATACTGCAACTTTAACAAAACCGCAAGTTAAAGGATCGACAATAGGCTGCTCTGTCATAATAAAAGATAAAGTTAATTATATTTATAAAGATAAAGTTAATTGTATTATAAATTTTTTTGTGAAAATGAAATTTTTACTTGTTCTTTTGTTTTCATAAAAATATTTTCTACTCGTTCCTTTGTTTTCCATATTTGCTTAAAATATTAAATTTTGCCGCTGTTTTACATATATTTACAATAGTCTCAAGTAATTTAAAGACCAGATTTTTAGTTTAGCTTGATGACATTATAAAATAGAGGTGATGCGTATCACAATAATATTTAAAATTTGAACTTAGACCTTTAATTAAAGCATAAGACAAAACATTAAAAGTCTAACGAGCAGTATGTCAAATTTTGTTTTCATTACATTCAAATTAATAAAAGCTTTCATATTTAATCGAAAAAACAGATTTTAAACTTGAAATAACTAATTTTTTTCTACTTTTGATATGTTTTCAAACATACGACTCGTTAGAAATTGAATATATGACTCAAAACTTATTTGAAAATGTTGTTTTCTTTAGTTAATTCTTTATCTATGTATAGCATCAACATCATTTTATACCAAAAAATGATACCTCAACTATAAAGCAAAATTTTATACCTGAACTCGAACAATCTAAAAAAATTTTAATTTTATTTAATTTTAGACATACGAAAGGACTAAAATTAAATCAAATTTCGTTTTTTTATTTTTTAGTTGTGTTAAAAAAATACAGTTAAACATAGCCTTTTTACTAAAACGCAAAATTCGTTTATTTTTCAGAACGTGCATTAACTGCGTTGAGATATTAAAGTCTATAAACTGATCGTTTTGGAAGATTCCAATCCCGAAATTAAAAATGAATTTTTAAAAGAAGTCAAAAAATTTCATAAAATTTGCTATGATTTTTAGGCACCGCTTTTTAAACAATTTTCTAAAAATCCATTTTGGGTCCCCTTATATAGTGAGTTCTAGGCCTAGGCTCTGACTGCAACATTTATAAATAGCAACAACTTTTGGCAAATTTTATTCAAATATTTTACATGTATGTTTAAATTTTGTCACACTTTTCGATTTTTATTGGATAAATGTTTTTATATAAAATATTTACGGAGTATTACTCTCTTTTACTATCAGCATCTATTACGGAGTATTATTCTCTTTTACTATCAGCATCTATTACGGAGTGTTATTCTCTTTTACTATCAGCATCTATTACGGAGTATTATTCTCTTTTACTATCAGCATCTTACGGAGTGTTATTCTCTTTTACTATCAGCATCTATTACGGAGTGTTATTCTCTTTTACTATCAGCATCTATTACGGAGTGTTATTCTCTTTTACTATCAGCATCTACTACGGAGTGTTATTCTCTTTTACTATCAGCATCTATTACGGAGTGTTATTCTCTTTTACTATCAGCATATATTACGGAGTATTATTCTTTTTTACAATTAGCTGATTTAACTAACTTGATCAGCTTCAGCTTTAATCTGAAGCTAATGAGTTTAAAGATGAAATATGCTGCAACCTCTACTTTATGAACAACATAGTTAATGTAATGTATATACATTATAATAATAAATGTGTTTTTTTTTATACTTAAATACTTGTTTTTTTTATTTTATAATACAATTTTTGTAAACTGTAATAAAATATCACATCCGCCTAAAATGTTACATCCCCCATAGAAAAAATGAAAACGAGAACGCGTTTTCGAGTCATTGCACTTAGAAGTGTATCAAATACGTCCGAAACATTCAATTATAAACAATATAATTAATAAAAACGTTTTTTTACTAATATACTATAAATGAAGTTAGCATAAAATGGTAATATATTTTAAATTCTTATTTATAATATTTTGATCGTATTGTATTGTGTGACAATAGCGTAGAAGAAGATTACACATTAGGGATACTTTATGTAATAAAAATAACAATCGTTTGCAATATTTTAGAAGCCTGCATAGGGGGGATGTGATATTTTAAGCAAGAATTCTAGTTTCTTTTTGTGACATATACAGAAATAACAAGTGGTGGATATTATATTCTATATGCCAAATTCTAATTGTTTAAAATACTTTATAAACTACTTAGGGGGATGTAATATTTTAGAAGTTGACATCGGGGGGATGTTATATTTTAAGTAAGAATTTCAGTTTCTTTTTGTGATATATACAGTGAATAAACCGAGGGGATGTGATATTCTAGATACCAAATACTAATCGTTTGAAATATTGTATGAATTACTTAGGGGGATGTAATATTTTAAAGGTAAACATAGAGGGGATGTGATATTTTAAGTAAGAATTTCAGTTTCTTTTTGTGACATATACATAGAATCTACAGGGGGATGTGATATTTTAGGTATCAAATACTAATCAATTGAAATATTGTATTAATTACTTAGGAGGATGTAATATTTTAAAAGTATACATAGGGGGGATGTGATATTTTAAGTAAGAACTTCAGTTTCTTTTTGTGGTACATACAGAACTTACAAGTGATGGATGTGATATTCTTGGTACCAAATAGCAATCGTTTGAAATATTGTACGAATTACTTTGGGGGATATAATATTTTAGAAGTATACGTAGGGGGATGTGATATTTTAAGTAAGAAGTTCAGTTTCTTTTTGTGACATATACATAGAGTCTACAGGGGGATGTGATATTCTAGGTATCAAATACTAATCAATTGAAATATTGTATGAATTACTTAGGGAGACCTAATATTTTAAAGGTAAACATAGAGGGGATGTGATATTTTAAATAGCAAATTGTATGAATTACTTAGGGGAATGTAATATTTTAAAGCTAAACATAGAGGGGATGTGATGTTTTAAGTAAGAATTTCAGTTTCTTTTTGTGACATATGCAGAGATTCCACAGGGTAGATGTGATATTTTAAATACCAAATATGAATTGCTTGAAATATTGTAGAAAAGTACTTAGGGGGATCTAATATTTTAGAAGTATACATAGAAGGGATGTGATATTTTAAGTAAGAATTTTAGTTTCTTTTTGTGGTACAAACATAATTTCCAATTGATGATGTGATATTCAAGATAGCATTTACTACTCATTTGAAAAATTTTATGAATTACTTAGGGGATGTAATATTTTAAAGATATACATAGGGAGGATGTGATATTGGGGAATATTTTAGAAGCCTGCATAGGGAGATTTGATATTTTTATTTAGAATTTTTGCTGTTATTTGCAAAATGTGCAGAGATTACTCAAACAGTCTTTTTTAATTTTTTTTTTTAGATTTCATTGAGCTAACAAGTTAAAAATGTATTATTGTTCAATCAATTCATATGTATGCCAACATATAAATTTACACAAAATAATATGTATGCCGACATGTAATCTATGCCGAATGTAAAATATGCCGAAATATGTAAAATATGCCGAAATATGTAAAATATGCCGAATATGTATGCCAATGATTTACACAAAATAATATGTATGGGGACATATGAATTGGCAGAATTATAAAGGCTTCCGACAATTTAAAGTATTATAACAATACAAGAAGTCACTAAAAATAAGGAGAAAAAAAATTTTACCTTTTTGTGTTTTTATTTGTAAGGGCATAAACATTTAAATTGGTTCAATTTATGACAAAATTTTGAAGAAAAAGAAATGACTGCAATTTTTAAAGTTTTATTTATTATTACATTTATATATAAATATGTTCACAACAAAATAAAGTTTCATTTTTAAAAACAATGCATCTTATACGGTACCATCGATTAGGATGCAAATATCACATTTGATCTAAAATTAAATATTTAATGTACATTTTTGTATTTGAATATTTAAAGTATTTTATTCTATTTGAAATAACTAAAATATATTTTATTACCCATCATATACCCAAAAAAAATTATATTTTATTACACATTATATACCCAAAAAAACAATTAAAATATATTTTATTACCCATTTAACTTTTTTTTGATTTTTTCTAGTTTTTTGACCAATTTCGCTTCCACAAATGCGACACAAACTATTCTGCCAAATTTTCTGACCTATTGATTTAATTTTTCATCTTTTTTTTTTTGTCTTTTTTTGAGATATCATTTAACATTGAAGTAGTATAAACATTTTCAGTTCTCTAAATAATCTCACAAACCTCCTTTATCTCTCTTTCTATATGCATTAAATTCTACATGTGGAAAGAAACGCACCAATACTTCTCCATTTGTATAACTTTCAGCAAACTAAAATATGTAAGCTTATATATATATATATATATATATATATATATATATATATATATATATATATATATATATATATATATATATATATATATATATATATCCATTACAGTTAAGACTCTTAAAGTTATTTTAAGGCAGAATACTCCAAATGTTATACCTTCAGCTTGTATGGCACGTGGTAATGTTAATATTTCAAACTTTTCTGAAATGCCATATCTATATATATATCATATATATATATATATATATATATATATATATATATATATATATATATATATATATATATATATATATATATATATATATATATATATATATATATATATATATATATATATATATATATATATATGTATATATATATATGTATAAATATATATATGTATACATATATAAATATGTGTACATATATATATATGTATATATAAATATATATTATATATATATATATATATATATACATATATATATATATGTATGTATACATATATATATATATATATATATGTACACATATATATATCCCAAGCAAAATTATACGTACTAAATTCGTATTTGCGCAAAATAATACGTAAGGTACGTAAACTTACGTCTATATGACGTATTAAATAGTACGTATCTTTTAATCCGTATGTTTACGTATTAATACGAATTTAAACTAAGAAATAATAAGGCTAAAATACGTATTTTTACGTATTTTAAAACACTTACACAAAATTTATTTGCGGTTAAAAATGCTAGCTAAACATTTCTACGGTCTCTTGTTATAAATAAGATAAATGACTCGAGGCGTATGATTTTTTTTCAGCAATTACCACTATATTATATCAGTTATATATACTAATATATACAGTGATAGGTATACAATATCATAGAGTATTTAATCAAATAATATTTAATTTTTATTAATTTAATTTAACATTTAACTTGAATATTTAATATTTTAAATTATTATTTAATTTTTAAGGCAATTTTTAATAAAAAACAAACAATGTCATTAGAGGTTTTGATAAAGTTCAACTAGTTATATTACGTAGAGTTATAATTTAAATTTTCATCATTATAATAATTAAAATAGTATTATATGATATATAGGGTAAAGAAGGGTAATAAGATCAGCGGGGCAGTAGGATCTAATAGCTATATAATATATACTATATTATGTAGTATATATTATATAGATATAAGATATATTATTTATATATATATATATATATATATATATATATATATATATATATATATATATATATATATATATATATATATATATATATATATATATATATATATATATATATATATATATATATATATATATATATATATATATATATATATATATATATATATATATATATATATATATTACCAGTAATATAATTATTATATATAGTTTTAAGAAAATTAAAATATGAAAAATTAAAAAAAGTCAGTATTATATTAAATATAATACTGACTTTTTTTAATTTTTCATATTTTAATTTTCTTAAAACTTAATAATAATAAGCATTGAATGTGAATAATATCCTTAATTAAAGAAAACAACCAACATATTTACACCATATTTTACACTCTGTATGTGTAACTACATATATTTGTATCATATACATAATGTATACATATGTATGTATGTATCTATGTGCCTTTAGGATAAATAACACCTGGATATATATGTATATGTATATATATATATATATATATATATATATATATATATATATATATATATATATATATATATATATATATATATATATATACATATATATATATATATATATATATATATATATATATATATATATATATATATATATATATATATATATATATATATATATATATATATATATATATATATATATATATATATATATATATAGAGAGAGAGAGAGAGAGAGAGAGAGAGAGATTAGGGCTGGCAATGTCCCTGTTTTTACCAAGGAGTATCTTTTTCCGGATATTCCTGGAATTCCCGATATTTTTCTCAACTCTTAGTTCATCCGGATATCTTTAAAGTTTTAAATACCTAAAAGTTAAAGTATATATTTGTGTAATATATTTAATTTATAAGTTTTTTTAGTAATTACTCATACAAAAATTAGGAAAAGTTTCCAAACATTTGAGAAACAACTCAGCTGAAATCAAAATTAGGAAGAAAATAAGGGAAAAAATATACTTGATATTTTACGAAAAGTATTTTTTGGATTTTTCTAATATATCCAGGATGATCTATGTTTTATGTATGAGAGCACAGTAAAAAAAATATTTTTAATAGATTTGGCGCTGCACTCTCCTACGTAAATATCGGGAAAATGTCAATCCTTTTTTTTGTTTTATTTGCAGATTTTTATTTTACTATAATTCTATATCAAATGTCTTCCTCAAGAAATAAACGTAGAAAAGTTGCCATTGCAGTTAGTAATTTCTTGAATATCACAAATGGTTTGTTTTATCATAAATTTTATGTTTTTACAGAATCATTTTTATTTATCAATTATAATACTTACATTAGTCATTGCCTATGTTGTTTATATTAATTTTTACATTATATATTCTGTTTGGTTTGTTAAGTTATGATTTGAATTATTGTTTAACTTTAATTTTAGAATATCAAGATGATAATGTCCATTTGGAGAAATCCAAAAACTTAAACGACCATTCTGATTGTTCTGATTTTGAACCTGTTTCAGATACTTCACTGCATGAAGAATGTAATGGAGATGAATCTCCATTACATTCTTCATGCAATGAAGTATCTACCAGCAGTGATTCTGGTGGCGAAAATCCAAGTGAATTTGAGTTGCAAATTAAGTTATGTGATTATGCGATTGAAAACAATATACCTTATGCAACAATGGACAAATTGTTATGTATTTTAAAACCTTATCATACTCAATTACCAAAGTGTTCAAAAACATTATTAAATTCAAAACCTGTAACAATTAGAATTGTGACTAATGGTGAATTTTTATATATTGGTGTTGAACCTTTTCTTCAAACATTGAGTGTGTCTAACCCATCGATTATCTGTTTGCAATTTAATATTGATGGTGTTCCAATCTATCACAATTCTGAAATATCATTTTGGCCAATTCTGGTAAAAAAAGTTAACGATTCATTGTCACCAAAAGTTGTTGCTATTTTTAGTGGAAGGAAAAAACCAAATTTACAAGAGTTTTTTTCCCAATTTATTACTGAGATAAATCATCTTAAAAGCAATGGTGTTACAATTAACTCACACTTGTGCAATATTCATATAACTAATATTGTATGTGATGCCCCTGCACGTGCATTTATTAAGTGCATAAAGTATCATTCAGGATATTCCAGCTGTGACAAGTGCACTGTAGAGAGTGAATGGCTAAACAAGGTTGTATTTTTAGAAACAGATGCACCCTTGAGAACATTAGAAAGTTTTGTTTCTAGAGAAGATGATAGTCATCATATTGGTGTGACACCTTTATTAGGAATTCCTATTCATCCAATTAATAGTTTTCCAAATGACTATATGCATTCTGTCTGTCTGGGAGTAGTACGAAAACTTCTAAATTTTTGGTCTTCTGGACCATTCAGTGTTAAGCTATCTTCGCAATCACTAAAAACAATATCAGCTCGATTAATTCATGTTTCATTGTTCTTTCCATCAGATTTTAACAGAAGACCTCGTTCATTGGAGAGTATGAATAAGTGGAAGGCAACAGAATTCCGATCATTTCTCCTTTATTCAGGGCCTATTGTTTTGTGTGATATTCTTAGTAAACCAGTTTATGAACATTTTCTTATTTTACATAGTTCCATATTTCTATTATGTAGGTCACAAGAGCATGAAGTTATTAAATATTGTGGTGAGTTGCTGAAAATATTTGTTACAAAGGCTGTTGCCTTGTATGGCAAATCATTTATGTCATATAATGTGCATTCTCTTATACATCTGCATAATGATTGTTTACAATTTGGACCGCTTGGCAATTTTTGTGCTTTCCCCTTTGAAAATGCTCTTGGTCATTTAAAACGAAGAATTCGAAGTGGATATTTGCCGCTTCAGCAAGTAGCTTCTAGTCTTTCTGATAACAAATCTGAACATTCTAGGAAAGTACACACTGATGGAGTTTCCCTTCAACATTGTAGTGGGCCTTTACCAAATCAGGGCCATTTTTTGCAATATAAAGTGTGCCATTACAAAAATCAAAGGTTTTCAAGCGGTTTGCAGGATAGTTCAGTAATGGTAGGACAAAAGTGCTATCAAATAGTTAACATCTTAGCAGAAGACTTAAAAAATCCATTATTCTTAGCCAGGTGTTATACTGTGCAAACAAACTTTTATGACGTTCCACTTGCAAGTTCGAAACTATCTATTTTTAAAGTTAGTTGTCTTAGTGACACTTTGCATACAATTCCGTTTTCTGATATTGTTATTAAATGTTGTTGTCTCCCATATTCTTCTTCCTTTGTTGTAATCCCATTATCAGAGATTTGAGTTTTTATTATATTTTAGAGTTCTATATATTTTTTCAAATAAGATAATAAATTTATATTATACAGTATTTGTAATTTGTTCCATGTCTATTTATGGTATACAACATGTATTTCATTTTGTTGTATCTATTTATACATTTCTTACAATTGCTTTAATTTATTTGGGCAGCTTTTTAAATATATAGTGTAAAATTATGAACTACATTTACACATTTTATTATTTCTTTGTTTTGAAGTTTAAATTTGCAGAATGTTAGTTCTTGAAGTATCTTTGAACGTTGTTTAGCAGGATGTAATTGTATTACTCTTATATGGTAAATAATAGGTAAATAATAATAGGTCTTATATGGTAATTAACTATTTTTTTTTTCTTTATTTAAATTAAGCAAATTTTTTTTTTTAATATTTTGTATTTGAAATTTTTTTTATAACAGATGTCTTATTCAGTAGTTATTTTTAATATTGATAATGAAGTGGCAACAGTGTCCAGTAAATGGTTCAAAGATTCAGGATGCGTTTTGTGGCCCAACTGTAGAGTAGGGAAGAAATTGCAAAACATGTTACTAAACCATGAAGAGCCAGGTGCTGACTGGATTTCTTATGAAGTACGAGTGTTGTCCAGTAACATCTGTAGGTATTTTTACTGAGAGTAAGCATTTCAACTGACTAAAGGAGACATGTTTTCTTAATTTTTTAATTATGAAACAGTTTAATTTAATATCTTTATAATTTTATTTTTGTAGTAACTCTCAAATCAGCAAGGGCAAAGGAGCGACTAGCTGAGGAAAATTCTGATCTTAGTTCAGCTGAAGATGGTAGCAGAATTATATATGCCCCTAGCAGATTTAACAGTCAAGAATATTGTCAACCACCATCCAAAATCAGCAAATTAACTTCAAATAGCCATACCACTTCCTATTTAAACAACCCCTTGATTCCTCATGCACCATCACTAGTTTCTAATCCATCTTTAGTTCAAACTTCAGCATCGTTTTCTAGTAAGCTAAATGTTTAATTTTGTTCAACAAGAACAGGCTTGTTGACTGATTAATCATTTAATGATCTTAATAACCATTTTTTGTATCTGCATATAGCATTTTTTATATCTGCATATAAGAATATGTTAGATTTGTATAACTTTTATGTAGCTAGTCAATACTGAAAAAAAAAATTTTTTTAGATGATGATCATAGCATATTTAATACGCAAGAGTTTTTACGACCCTTAGCCAAAAATAGAAAAGTTAATTCTAACTGCCAAACCACTTCATCTAATAACTATCCTTCATTTCCAGATAAATCAGCACTAGTTCCTGATTTTTCAATTTCAAACTCTGTTCAAACTCCAACACCAATCTCTAGTGAGTTACTTAATTTTATTCTGTTGAAGATTATTCTTTAAAATATATTGAGCAATGGCTTTTTGCTACAATTCCTTATTATACTGAAGATGTTTTTGATTATTAAAGTATTTTTGTTTTATGGCTTGTTTTATAACATAAGACAGTTTAATCTTTTATTATCGTTAATCATAATCTTAAATTAGTTCTCGTAAATCATAATAAGTAAAATCAAATATTTTACATTATATAATACAAACTATTTCTCCATCTGCATTTACCGGTTAAGGAATGGTGTTATAATTTGCTCTGAATCTGTTGTTACGTTACCAGAAAGTTTTTATTATTTTTTAGCTAATGTTCCTTGTGCATATCATTGTACGCATGTTGTTACGTGGTTTGAGAAATTATTTAAAGAAATACATCAAATGCGTGCAGAACAGACTGTGATAAATCATCGTTTAGATCAACAATGTCAAAATGAGCATCAGCATGTAGATAGCAATTTTTTGAATTGTCTTCCACTTGAGAGTGAAGTTGATTTTGAACGATTCGGTATAGAGATAGATAGTGACAATGGAAAACGAACTTCTTTGGTAAGTAAACTTTTGTGATGTTTCTGTTAGGTATTCTATGGGTAAAATATTTGAAGGCATTTAATTTGGGTTGTTTGAGCAAATTTGTCAATGTTATTTATATAAATATATAAAATTGTTTTTTTAAAGTTTATGTAAACCAAAATGTACAGCATAAAATGGATATTTTCTAATTGTTGTTCCTGTTTAGATACGTTATTTGCGGAAGAGGTCAGACTCAAATGTCAACAAGACCATATATATATATATATATATATATATATATATATATATATATATATATATATATATATATATATATATATATATATATATATATATATATATATATATATATATATATATATATATATATATATATATATATATATCTATATATATATATATATATATATATATATATATATATATATATACAGTTATGGCCATTGAAATCCGACCACCAGTATCATTTTACTTAAAACTAGTTTAATGTAGTAATAAACAATTGTATTATAGCAATAAAAGAATAACAGTAGCAATTAATGATTATAATGTAACATATCGTACATATTTAATGTTAATATTAATGTTTTTTACTCTCAGGTTCGTTGAATTTAATATTTAGTGGCACCACCATGTGCTTTTAAGACTGCATTAATGCGATCTGGCATTGAATCCACGAGAGCCTAACAATATTCTGGTGTTATTTCAGTAATCCAAGCTTGACGAATTTTGTGCGCTAGATTGTCCAGTGATGTAGGATTAGTTCTGGATACTGCTGACTTTAACTTGATTAATTGATTAACTGCTGACTTTAATGCGATCCTATCACGGATGTTCTTTAAAGACAGTCGCGGTTTGAGGGCTGGACGACGAGAACGTAGGCCTACATCTTTCAATAAACGTCTTCTTATTGTTCAAGTGCTGACTGTAACGTCATTAGGTAGATCTGCTCTGATTTGTGTGCTGGATATTGTTTGATCTCTCACAGCAGCCCTGCGTATCTTATTGTCTGTTTGTTTGCTAGTAATTCTAGCTTTACCAAAACGTTTTTGGGCGCAGTGGATCCTGTGTCTTTGATTAGTTGTATAATATCATGAACAGTTGATTTTGGCATTCGATATCTTGCATATATCTGATGCTCACTTGCACCATCCTCCCATAAAAGTTTAATATTAGCACGAACACCTTTCTTCGTAGTCATAATTAAATTGTGACAGTTAAATGATAATCCATACCCTACAATGAGATATATAGCTTAATAAATTTTACAGTGCAATAAAATAAACACTAATGTGATTGTCTAAAAGCTAATTAACTAATCATTGATAACAGGGAAGAAAATAAATTGATTATTCGAGTGCATAGACTGTTTTTCTTTATATTCAGCAGTGGTCGGATTTCAATGGCCATAACTGTATATATATATAAACATATAATAATTTTTTGAGACCCTATTTAATGTCTTTTGAATGTGATTAGTCAAAAAATTTAATACATTTAATTTAGATGTTGTTTTGAAAGTTCATAAAGGTGTGTCGTTGGTCCAAATAAATGTTGCGATTTCGGAACAATTAAAGAGACTTAATCAAAGAAATCCATTTCTAAGTCTACAACAGCTGAAGAAACTACACCTAAAATTCCAGAGTTTGATTAAAAACCAATTATTTTATTAATTTTAAAATAAATTGTTAAAATATAAAGTCTTTTTTATTGTTGAGAAGACTTATAAGTTTGAAAGATCCTGCTTACACACTTTGGTTAGCACTATGACATGTTACTTATTTAGGGATAGGCGAGGGCTTCAGTACATACACTGACTGATTTAGGGAGAACTCGCAAGTGAGTTAAAAACACATCCATTTTATTTATTATTTATTTTATTTTTTTGAAGAAGGTCAGGTTTTGATTATTGATGAAAAAAATTTTTTGTTTTATGACATGTTTTAATAAAACATGTCCTATAACAAAACAGTTAAATTTTTGTTCATTAAAATCGACAATTATCTTCATTTTATATTTAACATAATAAATATTTTAAATATAAAATATAACATTTTATTCTTTCATTTACAGGTGGGTAAAGTTTTTGTTTTATTTTGAAACGAGAACATCATTTGCTCTGCAGCTGACGTTCTTGTTTTAACAAAAAATGTGCTATTTTTTTGATAATGTTCCTTAATAACATCATTGTAACAGTTGTTTTTTGCACGGTTATTTAGGTTGCTTGCTTAATTTCATTAAATAATTTATGTTATTATGGCTGCAAAATTATTTAGAAAAATACAGCAAATGCTGGAAGCTAGAACAGGAAGTTATAAATCAGCATCTTGATGGTAAAATGAAAATCAACAACTAGTAGCACTTCTTTGAATTGTCTTTAAATTAGAGTAATGTTAATTTTGATTGGTATGGAGATAGATGCATACAATGGAAAACGAACTGCTGTTATGTGAGTTTTTATAAATTTTAGTCTTTCTGAGGGCCTAATTAAAAAAAAGATACTCAACTTGGTTTGTTTGGAACAATTTTGGTTATATGGTATAAAAACTTAAAAAATTAGTTTAATGACTAAACAGCTTTAAAAATAATCTTTTACTACAAATAATGAACAGACACTAAACAAAGTTATATACTTAATTGTAGGTAGTATGTTCAGCTGTACATAGTATGTTTTTGTAATTTTTCTTTATATCTAGATTTTTGGAAGATGTTAAACAACAAGATGTAATTCGAGGTAAAAATATTTAGTATATGATATTTTTTATTTACTTAGTTATGTGTGTGTATTTGACATATTTTTGCCTCACAAAACATATTTTTTGTGGGGAAGTAATATATGTTTGGGAGGAGAACATTCTTGAGACACTGTAAAAGTATTTTAAATAGTATTGCTTATTTTTGTTGTTGGTACATTCAGATACTGTTTAGTATGTTTTTTAGAAACTATTTGTACGTTTAGATATTGTTTCTAAAATTCTTAAAGACGTGTTATTCGTTCAAGTAAACGATGCTGTTAAAGCAGGTTGTCTGAGCAGTTAAAGAAACTTAATCAAATGATTCAAAATTCTCTTCTTTAAGCAGCCGAAGCAACGATACTCGAAATGCCTGGAATGGATAATTAACCAAGTAATAAATAAACTTTGCAATAAAGTTTAAAAATAAAAAATGTCTTGTTTATGTATATTGTATTATATATGGCTTATAAATTTAATTGCCGAAGTTACATAAATAATACTAAAAAAAATTCTATAAAGATAAGTATTTAAAACAACCTATCAGCGGCCAATAGTACCGTAAAAAATACGAAAAAAAAATACGTATTAATACGTTCAATAGATACGTATTTAAAACACCCAATCAGCGGCCAAAAGTACCGTAAATAATACGAAAAAAAAATACAAAAAAATACGTATTAATACGTTTAAAAGATACGTATTTAAAACGCCCAAACAGCGGCCAAAAGTACCGTAAATAATACGAAAAAAAAATACGAAAAAATACGTATTAAATACGTATAATTTTGTTTGGGATATATATATATATATATATATATATATATATATATATATATATATATATATATATATATATATATATATATATATATATGTATATATATATATATATATATATATATATATATATATATATATATATATATATATATGTATATATATATGTATATATATATATATATGTATACATATATATATATATATATATGTGTGTGTATATATATATATATATATATATATATATATATATATATATATATATATATATATATATACATATATATATATATATATATATATATATATATATATATATATATATATATATATATATATATTTGTGTGTGTGTGTGTGTGTGTGTGTGTGTGTGTGTGTGTGTGTGTGTGTGTGTGTGTGTGTGTGTGTGTGGGTGGGTGTGAAATACTCTATAATTAAATTAATAAATCATTAATTTTTTTAGATAAAAGTTTTTGAATACCTTATGCCGTCTTTTTATTAAATCAGTTTTAATTTGCAATTCATCCAGTGAGCGTAGCCCAGCTGGCTACAGTACTTCGACTCGATTCTTCAAAGCATCAATAAATAGAATGGCATTCAATATATTGTTTTATATTTAGAATTAAAATTTTATTTAAATAAAGACCAATTCATGAAATGCAATTTAAGGATAATTTCATCAAAATTTAAACATAAGCCTTTCTTCTAATAAAATAACGACTATTACATTTATAGAAGATTACATGTTTTAAAACTCTACACATTTTTTCACCAGGTTGGATAATGTTTAAATTGATTATTTAAATAGGTTTACATAAAAATCTTTATAACAATAAAAAGGTAATGCTAAAAAAATGTAAAAGTGATTTATTATTATATACCTTCACTGTCTTTAGCTGCAAAGATTTTTATAATTATCTGCCTCCTCTAGAAAATAAATTATTAATAAAATAAAACGCTAACAATTACAAATGAATAAGTAAGTTTTTAATTCATACCTTCACTATCATTAACTTTCAGGCTTTTTGTTGGTGTCTTTGCCTTCTCTTAAAAATAACCATAAAATAAAATAATGGAAAAATATATGTTTTAACAATAAATTAAAATAAGAAAACGAATATTTTACCCGAGTATAAATCAAAAAACAATAAAAGTTGTTTTCATATTAGTATTACCTGTAGAAAGTTATACAAATATTAGGTTTGAAGAAAAAATAAAATATTTTATAAATAGAATGAAAACTTCATTGAAGTAACAGCTATATCAATAACTTCTACAGAGTAACAATACTAAAAAAAAAACATTTCTCTTCTCAGCGTTTTTTAAAGACGTTTAAAGACCTGTATTAGGCGTAATAAAATTTAGACGCCTTTAAATAGCTATGGCTTTCTGAGACAAGTGTCTGACAAAGATGTCTTTTAAACTAAAATAAGTGAACTTAAACTCTCAACCTCAAATAATATATTTAAAAATATAATGTAACTTCACTTTGTTTTAGCTCATTCTTTTTCTAGCGCTTATCTTTCTTTAAACCTTTTAATTTTCTAAACTGATCAAAACGAGCTTCTTGATTCACAAAAAAGTTATGCCAAATATTGTGCGGCCGTGGCGCAGTGGTTAGATCGTATGCTTTATAAGCAGGAGATCCAGGTTCAAAACGAGCTTTGGACATATTTCGCGTCATGGTAAAGAAGGAGGCGTGAACTTCCTGGTTAAATGCTTTTCCGCGGTGCTCTGTGACAAGACCGTAAGGACTTCTTAGGGTACCTAAATAACAAATTTAAAAAAAAAAAAATTATAAACAAGGACAATTTTGTGCAGATTTTTTGTTATGTTTATTATGGCTACGCTTTGGCACCGGACTCGTTGAATAAAAATTTAATCAATTTTTATTATAACAATTAACATAGTCAGTTTTGTTACCTAATTCAATCATTTAAATTAAGCCACTACGCTTTCGTCTTTTTTTCAAACTTGTTGAATTTAACGCTATAAATCTGTCATTATAAAGATGATTATTATTTCTTAGTGAAATCTTCTTCGAACAATCCTGCACTTTGGCATTTGTGTCATTAAGAAAATAGGAAAACCTAACAAAAGCAGAATATTCTTAGTGTGGATGAATAATACTTGCTCAATAGTATTTTTTTTCAAAATTTTTATTTTTACAAAAATGTTGTGTTAACATTTGATAGAATATATATATATATATATATATATATATATATATATATATATATATATATATATATATATATATACAACAAACCGTTTATGTACTTTGTCTTTTACAGTACATTATTCTTTATCATTTCAGTTCAGTATGATATAGGATGATTCTAATACATGAAATACATGATTTTATAATTTATTGTAATAAATATAAGTTAATTTTTTAACTGCCACTTTTAAAAATTTGTATAATTTTAATAATTGTGAACTGGACTAAATATTATTAACTCGCCTCAACAGGCTCAATAATCACATTATATTTCCATACCAAGCCACCCAAAGAAACGTTAATATTTAAAAATAGTTCTTTAAAATGTTCCTTTATTAAGAAAAGAAGTTTCTATTATTCAAACAAAGTATCTAAAGAAGTTATAACCTTCCCAAAACATTACGCCTAAGCCACCATAGGTGGACGTAATGGAGAAAAATTTTAAATTATGCAATAGAATGAAAAAAGACAAACCGTAATTATTTATTTTCCTTCAAAACGTTTCGTAATTAAAATATTTATGTTGTAAGATATGAATACATTTAGAGTAAAAAATTATTGTAATTAATTTCGTTCATTTTAAATCTTAGGAAAACTTTAATTCCACCAAAGTTTTATATATGACTTCGTTGAACAATGTCGCATGTTTGAATTGTTAGCTCAATCATATCTAAAAAAAAAATAAAATATTAAATTAAAACTTTAAAAAGCTAAAAAACACTTTAAATATTAAAGTTTCTTGATTTTTTTAAAAGTTCTTTAATTTTTTTTTAATTCTTTAATTAAATATATAAATTTATTATAAAGATCTCCCCACCAGAGGAGGACCCAAGAAACAAAAAACAGCTAACAATATTTGAGATACATATCTTACTTAAATTACACATCAACCCTATGCAGGCGTCTAAAATATTATTATTATCCCACTAAGGAATTCTTTACAATATTTTAAACAATTAGTATTTTGTGTTTTAAATATCAGATTCCTCACTTGAAAATTCTGTGTGTATCACATAAAGAAACTAAAATTTTTACATAAAATATCACATCCCCCCTTTGTATACTTTTAAAATATTACACCCCCCTAAGTTATTCTTTACAATATTTCATTAGGTATCAAATACTAATCAATGATTAGTATTTAGTACCTAGAATATCACATTCCCCCTATTTATTCTCTATAAATGTCACAAAATAAAACTGAAATTCTTACTTAAATTACACATCCACCCTATTCAGGCGTCTAAAATATTACATCCCACTAAGTAATTCATAAAATAATTTAAACAATAAGTATTCGGTAACTAGACTATAACATCCATCACTTGTAATTTTTGTATAAATAACAAAAAGAAACTGAAATTCTTTCTTAAAATATCACATCCCAACTATGTCTACTTCTAAAATACTACATCTCCCAAAGTACTTCTTTACAATATTACAATATTTTATTTAAAAAAAAGTACTTCTTTACAATAATAAAATATTTCATTTAAAAGTTCTGTACATACCACAAAAAGAAACTTAAATTCTTATAATATCACATGCCCTCTATGTTTATCTTTAAAATATTACATTCCCCTAAGTAATTCATAAAATTTTTCAAATAAGTGGTAACTGCTAACTTGAATATCACATTCAACACTTGTAAATTATGTTTGCACCACAAAAAAAAAACTAAAATTCTTACTTAAAATATCAAATCTCCCTATGTATACTTCTAAAATATTAGATCCCCCTAATTAATTTTCTACAATATTTCAAGCAATTCATATTTGATATTTAAAATATAACATCTCCCCTGTGAAATCTCTGCATATGTCACAAAAAGAAATTGAAATTCTTATTTAAAACATCACATCCCTTCTATGTTTACCTTTAAAATATTACATCCCCTAAGTAAGTCATACAATATTTCAAACAATTAATATTTGCTATTTAAAATATCACATCCCCTCTATGTTTACCTTTAAAATATTAGGTCCCCCTAAGTAATTCATACAATATTTCAAACGATTAGTAATTGGTATCTAGAATATCACACCCATCACTTGTAAGTTCTGTATGTACCACAAAAAGAAACTGAAGTTCTTACTTAAAACATCTCATCCCCCCTATGTGTACTTTTAAAATATTACATCCCCCTAAGTAATTCATACAATATCTCAATTGATTAGTATTTGATACCTAGAAAATCACATCCCCCTGTCGATTCTATGTATATGTCACAAAAAGAAACTGAACTTCTTACTTAAAATATCACATCCCCCCTACGTATACTTCTAAAATATTATATCCCCTAAAGTAATTCATACAATATTTCAAACGATTGCTATTTGGTACCAAGAATATCACATCCATCACTTGTAAGTTCTGTATGTATCAAAAAAAGAAACTGAAGTTCTTACTAAAAATATCACATCCCTCCTATGTATACTTTTAAAATATTACATCCCCCTAAGAAATTCATCCAATATTTCAATTGATTAGTATTTGATACCTAGAATATCACATCCCCCTGTAGATTCTATGTATATGTTACAAAAAGAAACTAAACTTCTTACTTAAAATATCACATCCCCCTAATGAATACTTCTAAAATATTACATCCCACTAAGTAATTCATACAATATTTCAATTGATTAGTATTTGATACCTAGAATATCACATCCCCCTGTAGATTCTATGTATATGTCACAAAAAGAAACTGAAATTCTTTCTTAAAATATCACATCCCCCCTAATGAATACTTCTAAAATATTACATCCCCCTAAATAATTCATACAATATTTCAAATGTTTGGTATTTGGTACCTAGAATATCACATCCATCACTTGTAAGTTCTGTATGTACCACAAAAAGAAACTTAAATTCTTACTTAAAATGTCATATCCCCTCTATGTTTACCTTTGAAGTAATACATCCCATAAGTAATTCATACAATATTTCAAACGATTAGAATTTAGTATCTACAATATCACATCCCCTCGGTTTATTTGCTATATATGTCACAAAAAGAAACTGAAATTCTTACTAAAAGTATTACATCCCTTCTAAGTTTACCTTTAAAATATTACATCCCCTAAAGTATTTCATACAATATTTCAAACAATTAATATTTGCTATTTAAAATATCACATCCCCGCTATGTTTACCTTTAAATTATTACATCCCTTTAAGTAATTCATACAATATTTCAAACAATTAGTAATTGGTATCTAGAATATCACATCTCCTCGGTTTATTCACTGTATATGTCACAAAAAGAAACTTTAAATCTTTACTTAAAATATCACATCCCCCCTATGTTTATCTCTAAAATACTACATCCCCCTAATTAATTAATAAAACATTTTAAATGGTAAGTATTTAGTGTTTAAAATATAAGATTTATCACTTGTAAATTCTGTATGCACCACAAAAACAATTTGAAATTCTTACTTAAAAAATCACATCCCCTCTATGGTTACTTTTAAAATATTACATCCCCCTAAGTAATTCATACAATATTTCAAACGATTAGTATTTGGTATCTAGAATATCACATCCCCTCGGTTTATTCACTGTATATGTCACAAAAAGAAACTGAAATTCTTACTTAAAATATAACATCCCCCCCGATGTCTACTTCTAAAATATTACATCCCCCTAAGTAGTTTATAAAGTATTTTAAACAATTAGTATTTGGTATATAAAATATAACATCCACCACTTGTTATTTCTGTATATGTCACAAAAAGACACTAGAATTCTTGCTTAAAATATCACATCCCCCCTATGCAGGCTTCAAAAATATTGCAAACGATTGTTATTTTTATTACATAAAGTATCCCTAATGTGTAATCTTCTTCAACGCAATTGTCACACAATACATTACGATCAAATATTATAAATAAGAATTTAAAATATATTACCATTTTATGCTAACTTCATTTATAGTGTATTAGTAAAAAAACGTTTTTATGAATTTCGTTTTAATTATATTGTTTATAATTGAATGTTTCGGACGTATTTGATACACTTCTAAGTCCAATGACTCGAAAGCGCGTTCTCGGCTTCATTTTTTCTAAAGGGGATGTAATACTTTAGGCGGATGTGATATTTTATTACAGGGACTTAAAAAAGTGTTAGACTCTTAGGTGCCGGATAACTTTCATTAAACTTAACAGGCTATTTTGATATATTAAGACTCTGAGAGAGAAAACTATTTATCTTTTTGTTTGGCTTTTGTGAAAGTTTGTGTTACGTAATTTATGGACGATCCAAAAGTTTTATTTTTCGTTGTTTAAGTTTATTATGGTAGGACGGACGTTTTAGGTACACTTGGAACAGTTTTTACCCAAAAGCACGATCTCGTTATGAGTCTTTCATACAATGCTCCTATGAATCATAGGAACATGGAATGATTCAAGGTGTGGAAATATAAAACCAATATAAATGGGTAGTTCAATTCGGATTTAAAATAAAGTATTATAAACTTTCATTCTTCTTCAAGATTTATTTTTTTGCACTTAATATCAAAAAAAAAAGTCGAATTAAACAAGTATGCTCGCTTTTTAATAGTAATAGATTTAATTACAGATAGTTGTTTGTTTCCAATAAACATCATGTTAATAATATAATGTTTATTGGAAAAAAACATGTTATTAATATAATATTTATATTTATTTGTTTTATTATACATACATATATATATATATATATATATATATATATATATATATATATATATATATATATATATATATATATATATATATATATGTATATATATATATATATATATATATATATATATATATATATATATATATATATATATATATTATATATATATATATATATATATATATATGTATACATATATATATATATATGTATATATATATATATATATATATATATATGTATAATATATATATATATATATATATATATATATATATATATGTATATATATATATATATATATATATATATATATATATATATATATATGTATATATATATTTATATATATTATACATATATTTATATTTATATATATGTATATATATATTTATATATATTATACATACATATGTATATATATATATATATATATATATATATATATATATATATGTATATATATATTTATATATATATATATATATATATATTTATATATATATATATATATATATATATATATATATATATATATATATATATATATATATATATATATATTTTTTTTTTTAACATCTTCACTTCCAACAAGGCTGCAAGCAACCACTATAAGAGTTGGAAGTTACTGGAAGAGAAAAGACTAAATCTGTAGAGCAAGATAACGATTGACTGATGACTTAAAAGATTGCAAATTATATGAATCAGGAAAGCAAGATGAAGGAAGCAAATTCCAAAGAACTGATGTTCGAGGAAAAAAACTAGAAGAATAAGAGTTTTTGAAGCACTTAGGAACAGTCACAGAAAAAGGATGAGACTTAATTGAATGGCGAGTAACACGAGAATGAATTTTAGTAGATGGCACAAGGGACGCTAGCTCTTTAGAGCAGTGCCTATTATAGTATTTGTAGAAAAGAGAAAGAGAAGCAACATTACGACGATGTGACAAAGGTTGGAGATTGGCTGCCAGAGCAGGTCCAACTATGTTTACAATTCGTTTTTGCACCTTGTCTAAAAGAGAAAGAGCATCATTAGTAGATCCGCCCCAGATGTGGCAACAGTATTCCATACAGGGACGGATTTGAGATTTATAGAGATAGAGAATAGAATCTGGAGTAAGAAAGTGTCGAGCTCGATAAAGAGATGCAACCTTAGCAGATGCTAATTTTGCAATGGATTTGATATACGGTTTAAAAGAAAGATCAGAAGTAAGAGTTAATCCTAGAAGATGAATGGTAGATGACTCATCTAGTACATTACCATTCATAAATATAGGAAGATCTAAATTATTACGATAACGATTGGCCGAATAAAACTGAGTTTTATCTGAATTAAAGTTCACCAGCCACTGTGAGCCCCATGCTGTAGCAGAAGTGAGATCCTTTTCAAGCTCAGATACCCCCTCCAAGCAATCAGAGAGTGTAGGCTTCTTATCATGACAAGAGTAAATGGTAGTGTCGTCAGCGAATAATGCCACCTTAGATGTGAGAATATCTGGAAGATTGTTAATGTAAATTAAAAAGAGTATAGGGCCAAGGATTGAACCTTGAGGAACCCCTGAAGTTACAGGATGTGAAGAAGAGTGTTGTCCATCGAGGACAACTTTTATACTACGATTGGAAAGAAAGGACTCAATAATCTTAAAGACGTTACCAGCTACACCATAAGAAGAAAGCTTATGGAGAAGACCAGCATGCCAAACTTTATCAAAATCTTTAGAAATGTCAAGTGCGATAGCCTTAACCTCTCCACCTCTATCTAATGCACGGTAAAACCTATCAGTTATTACTGTTAGCACTTCAGCTGTAGAATGAGAAGACCGAAATGCATATTGATGATCAGAAAGTAAGTTATTTGATTCAAGATGAGAGATTAAGTATATGTTGATTAAAGATTTAAAAACCTTGCTTATGACAGGAAGAAGACTAATGGGACGGTAGTTAGATGAATCAGATCGCTCTCCGGAATTTTTGAAAATAGGGATAACAGATGCTGCTTTCCAGCATGATGGAAAACAAGACTCTGATAAGCACTTGTTAAATAGTTTAGAAAGTATGGATGAAAGCTCCGGAGAACACCTCTGCAAAACTACAAGCAAGGGATCAACCTGTTTGACGGCTATGTCAGGTAAAACGCAACTAGTGGAATCAAGAGATGATATTGATGAAAAGTTCTTAGCAAACAATTCAGCTTTGTCTTTAGGTGAGGTGACAAAGTCTGAACCTTACAAGAGAGAAGGAATAACAGATTTGCCCTTATTATTGATACTGGTAAAGATTCTCCAGAAGTCTCGAGAGCCTAATTTTTGTGATGAGATACGAGATTTAATGACCTGGGAATAGCGAGCTTTTGCGTCAGACAAAACCTTTTTACAATGGTTTCTGGCGATAGTGAACAGATGTCTGTTTTCTGGAGAATTGTTTTGCTGATAGATATGGAAGTAACGGTTTCGATTAGAAATTGCTGCAGCGCAATGTGAGGAAAACCAAGGAGAAGAGTGAGGCTTGACCTGGAATCGTCGAGAGGGAATAAAAGATTCCATGCCAGCCTGAATCCACGAAGTTATGTAAGAAGCACATTTGTCAGCAGGAAGACGAAAGATTTCTACCCAGAGGCCATCACGAAGAAAATCACGGAAAGAGTTCCAGTCAGCTTTAAGGTAGTTGTAAAATGTACGATGATAGGGGGATTCTGATGATAAAGAAGAATTTGATAATAGTTTTAGAGAGATCAAACCGTGATCAGAAGTACCTAAGGGTGAATGTGGAGAAATTGAGCACTGACTAGGATCCAAAACAAGACATAAGTCGAGTAGAGAAGGTAAATGATTAGGGTTGTCTGGAAAACGAGTTGGAAAGTTGACTATTTGAGTTAGAGATTGAGAAAGGCAAAAGTTGAGGGCCTTAACGCCAGCAGAGTCACTGACACTAGAGCCAAGCCAATCGGTGTGATGGGCATTAAAGTCACCAACAACGACGATATTGGCCGATGGATAAAGAGAGAGGGCTTGGTCAATTTGATCAGAAATAACATCAAGAATAGTGCAATCTTGGGATGAAGCAGAGCGATATAAAACAAAGAGAAAGGCGATAGAGTGAAGTTGTGCTAAACGAAAGCACATTAATGAATAGTCTGTAGATTCAAACCTAGTTTCACGACAAATGGGTGAGTTCTTACAAATGTAGATGCCCAGGCCAAGCATGTGATTATTGGAGTCTTTACGAATTAAAGGAAGATAACCATCAACACTAAGATCACAAGATGGGACAGCCGAACTCAAATTAGTCTCACAAAGAGCAAGTAGGTCTGGTGAACTTTGCATAAGATAAGACTCAACAGAAGAAAAGTTACTTCGAAGACCACGAATATTAGTAAATGATAGGTTTAGAGAACTTGGTGATGACGATGGTTTTTTGTGTTTTTTAGTTTTAGGTACTTTAGTCATTTTAAATTTATAAAGAACTTGACTCAAGTATAGATAGTACTCAGTACACTATTTAACAACTAATCAATAGCCTCATTACTATTAATAAACCCTAAGCCGTAACAAAGGGCTCCAAATTGCCTCTGCAATGCACACCAAAAGTACAAACAGGGACACCATCCATGCGCAACATGACACTGTTAGTACTCTGATATTTTTCGGCTGTTGATGGAATCAGCCTCTCTGAGAGCTACCACAGAGTTCGGGAAACCTGACTACCAGCCGGCCTCAGAACCATAAAACTGAGTTTTAGAGCTGTACCCTCATTAGGAGATAATAGAATGAGTTGCCCAGTCATAAAAATAGAGACACAAGCAATACCCACGCATTGAGTCAAGAAGATCCAGCGTTCAACATCCTAAACTGGAAACAATGTATTAAAAATACATCTGCGCCAGCCTAATAGAAGAGGAAGAAGTGCGAGGCTGGTCAGACTTAAGGGGTAAACAGATAGAATCTGTTTACCCCTTAAGTCTTTGCCTAGGAGGCCTTCTACAAGACAGCAGCTGGATGCATGTAACATCTGCCCAAGATGAGTATTTTTATCGAGACACCATCTCTAGCCTTTACTCAACCAAGAGCCCCAAGGCAGGGGGTGTTTTAATTCGGAGTTAACTTCTCCTAGCCTTTGCCTAAAAAAGCGTATCCTACAAGGCAGCAGGACATGGAGCAGGTTGTACTGGGTTACATGTTACCAGTAGCAGGAAAAACCTGACCTGACCTTAAATATATATATATATATATATATATATATATATATATATATATATATATATATATATATATATATATATGTATGTATGTATATATATGTATGTATATATTTGTATACATATATAAATATATATATATATATATATATATACATATATATATATATATATATATATATATATATATATATATATATATATATATATTATATATATAGTATATATATATATATATATATATATATATATATATATATATATATATATATATATATATATATATATTTATATATATTATATATATAATATATATATATATATATATATATATATATATATATATATATATATATATATATATATATATATATAGTATATAGATATATATATATATATATATAATATTATATATATATATATATATATATATTATATATATAATATTTATATATATATATATATATATATATATATATATATACATATATTATAAATATATAATATATATATATATATATATATATATATATATATATATATATATATATATTATATATATAATATATGTATATGTATTCGTATATATATATATATATATATATATATATATATATATATATATATATATATATATATATATATATATATTATATATATATAATATATGTATGTATATAT